CAATTTAGGAGCATATTTAGTGCCAAATTTCATTGAGATTTGATGAGGGGTTCTTGAGCTAGGGCTATTTTAAGGCATTTTTTAATTAATATTGTATAATATGAGTAATAATAATAATTATTACAATAAATTGTATTTCAAATACAAATTAAAATGTGTAATTAATCAAAATTTCTAATATTGTTACTTCATTTTTTTTTTTTGTATCATGAACTACTTTTAAAAGGAACTCAACAGGTTTATGGGGTGGTATAGTCAATAAAAAGGCAGAATAAAATGTACCCTAAGGCAATGAAGAAAAGGAAATATGCAGATAAAATTTAAATTTTGGTAAATTAATATAATAAGAAGGCTGAGACATGGTGATTACTATCAAATTGCATACAAACACAGCATAATAAATGGAAATTGGTAAGTTAATTTTTTCAATAATATGTTAAAAAAAAAAAACAAAAAAAAAAACAACTAAAATTTGAAGTCTCTTGTTTTTACCAATATAAATTTGAATATTAAAAACAGCAGTATGAAATTATGTTACTGTTCATAATGTTTTTTATAACAAAAAAAAAAAAAAAAAAAAAAAAAACTTGACCCCTTTTCACATTATTTGGAAAAAAAGTGAAAAATTTTTATCAATTATTTGGTAAAGCAAGAGGGTTTTGGGGGTTATATATTTGTTTTGTTTTTTTCTTTAATAAAAATAATAATCCTGAGGAAAAAAAAGATCAACGTAAAATTGGATAAAATAGAATTATTGTTGGTACTACAAGAGTTCCCTTATGGGAATAACGAGTCTGTTTAGTTTACTCAGTGAAATTAAGTACTACAATTTAATAAAAATAAAAAAAAAAAAACAGTATTTACAAGGCGAGCTACATTTTCTGCAAAAATCTTAGAGATTTTATTTACAGATTCATTATGGTTAGAGATTAAGTTGTTGTTAGTGTTATTAAATTACATTTCTGATCTTGAATGTACAGGAATCTGTTCTGGAGAAGAAAGAACATGTTTACAATAAAAAAAAAAAAAAAATGAATTTAGGTGTGATGTGTACTGTGTGATGTGTACTGTGAGGTTAACTAACAACAATGTGCGTTAATTAGGGTATGTAATATTTGGTAGGAATTTAAGCAGAACGAATTTGGTATCCAATATTGAATTTCATAATCAGACATTTTTTAAAACCACTTAAAATTGTTGAGTTAGACAAAAACACTTAATAAATGAATTATTGGTTGCACCTGCCGTTAATTAAGACAAAAAAAATAAATAAATAAATAATTCTCTACTTTTTAAAAAGCTTTCTTCCAAGGCCGGTTTGTAATTTTTTTTTTTTTTATATAAATAAAAAACAGAAAAAAATCTGAGAAGTAAGGAAAATCTTTCTCACATGGATTAATTACAACTGATTTACACATTAAACCATTATTTTTTTTTAATTTTATTAGTGTTGTTCCAGATCAAGTGTAATTTAGTGTAGTTTTTAGTCACGCACCAAACATTTGAGTTAAACGGTTTTTTTTTTAACTTTTAAAACAATAACATTTTAACTAACATAATTGTGAAAACTTTACGTTTCTTGCAATAATGATACAATATACTTGTTTTAATCAAATAAACAATTAATGTTGTTAAAGATTCAATCAATAAAATGTTCTAGGTAATTAATTAAATTGTTGTTTTTTGTATTTTTACAGCAAAAATTAATTTGTTCCCTTTGAACCAATTTCGCGTAAATTATTTGATAACGAAAAAAAATACCTTTGATAAGAAGAAGACAATAAAGTCGGTTATCAAACTGGGAAAAAAACATTGTTTTGTTTTTCTTAGTAATTTCACGTGTTTTTTTTTTTAACCATGTTTGTCAATAACTAAACGTGCATTTTTGGTAAATAGAACCGACCCCCCCGCTCTTTCGAAAGAAAGAAAAAAAAGCTGCACGTGGAAAGCCATTTTCAACAACACAATGATTATAGCCTATGACTGCAGAATACAGAACAAAAAGTGCATCATTTATTCGGGACATAAATGAATAATATTGAAATTGATGAGACAGAGCTTAGGTGTTTTTCTAAATAAAACTGTGTAGTTTAGTAGTTGGACCTACAAAATATTACTATTAAATATTATTATACAACGGGTTTCCGTCGGGATTGAAAAGAGGAAGATAAAAAAAAATAAAAATGATTTTATTTACCAAAAAAAGGCAAAGCAAAAACAATTTTTTATTGTCTGAATACATTTTCATTTTTGTATTTAACTGTCAGAGGAATTTATAAGTTAAAAAAAAAAATAGCTCTTTCCTTTAAAAAAGGACGGCAATTTTTTCATCTATCTATAAATAAATTATAAAAATATTCCATAAAAAGAAAAGTTGGAAGTGGAAGAATCTGTTACAAAAGACTGAACATGAAAGCTTCATTATTTTACTAAGTAAACATTTGAAATAAATTGATAATTTATTAATAATGTTCGAATCATAACTGAATCAAAGGTGTGGGGGGGACCATTTTTGAAAGAGTTTCAACCAGGAATAAGTGTTTTTAAAGACTTTTAAAATAATCCCAAAACAAAGCATTGTTGCACAAAATACCAATTTGGAAAGGTTCGATTATTAAGCAACTCTTTAACTCTGGGGAGGGAGAAGGCCAAGGGTGTCTAAATTTTAAGTCAATTTTTAAAAGAACTTGAATGATTAAAATAAAAAAAAACAAAAAAATACAAGTAGAGTCTACTACTTGTATTTTTTTATTTTAAGTACTTAGTAGACAAACGAAAACAATCACTTTTTTTTTCAATTTTCCTAATGAAAATAAAAAGAAGAGTGAGACGTGTTTAAAATAAAATTAAATGCCAAACTACAGAGGAATTTTTCAAAGTAATTTTTTTTTTTTGCATTTATTCGGATTTTATTCATGACAAAGCTACGATCTTTCTTTTTAAATTGTAGTTAAGTTAGGGATCTACCGGCTGAAATGTTCAACTAAACAAGACTTTTTTTACTAACTAACCACATGAAGGTCGAATAATAAAATTGATTTTTTTTTAGCAATATTCATTGTTTTCCCAAATGACTATTGCCTTCCGCATAGGGAACAGATTATCAATATTATTTATTTATTTATAAGAAGAACAAAAACAAATAGGATGTTGTTTTTGTCAGGCCTCATAATGCAAATCATGATTTTATAACTTGTGGGTAAGAAGACGACTAAGAAAAAGTAAGAACACTAAAAGACATCGAGAATAACTTGTAAATATAAATAATAATACCCACCCAGCAATTCAGACAATTTTCCTTCACTTCACAATTACTTTTTAATTTGGTTTAAAAAAAAAAAAAAAGAAAAAAAAAAGAGCACTCAGTACAATAAAAAAAATCGGGCAAACCAAAGAAAAAAATGTCTTTTTTTTTTTACCATAGTAAGACAAAAATATATATTGCCCGTGTAAAAGCAGAACATTAGTAAAAAGTGAATTTGTTTTAAAACTAAAGAGAGAGTTTTACTTCAAGAACAAGAAGAATTACTGGCCACATGTTCAGTTTTTAAGTTAAAACCAAAAGAAACTACTTCTCTTTCACTTTCTTTTTTACGAGCTTTCTTTATCACCCCATTTCTGTCATTCATTGCCTCCACTTTTGATTTAAATTCATTTTTGTGTGTGTGTGTTATAAAAATACTTAAATTATTTCTAGAGTAAAATTAGCAATAGTAGGAAATTAACTATATTTTTAATTTAATTCTTGTCGTATAAAAACAAAAAACTATCCTTTTAAAATTAAATTGGTTGTTAAACTGGTCTGGTAGTTTTTTTTTTTTTTTTTACATGTCTAGGTGGAGAGTTGTTTCAGTTATCAATATTTCTAACTTAGAATATTGATAACTGAAAAAGTAAAAACAACTCTCCACCTAGACATGTAAAAAAAGAAAAGAAAAGGGTACACAAGAGAGAGAGAGACACAGTAAAAATAGTAAAAATAAATTCTTTAAAAATTAATTAAATATATAGAAAATTACTTCATAAAAGTTCTTTATCATTATTTAATAGAAAAACTGATGTTTTTACTGTTTATTGTATTGGAAAGAGTTAAAAAAATATTTTTAAAAAAATCAATTGAAGCATAGTCGTTTAAAAATAAAGAAAATAGTAAAAAGGAAGTCAACAAAAAAAAAATAAATAAATATATATAAGCAAAATTACATCCAATTTTCATATTTTAAAAGAAACAATTTTAGATCAAAATAAAAAGAAGAAAGAAAGAATATTTAATTTAAAAAAAGAAGACTAAGAGAAGGAATCATCAATTTTTCTATATATTTTTTAAAGAATGAGGTATGGAAAAAAAAAAAAAAAAGTATTTTGATTTTAAAGAACTGAATCTATTGTACAAAAAAAACTTATACTCGAACAGAAATAAAAATAAAAACTACAATAAAAATGTTCACATTTTCTGCTGGTAAAAATAACATCATCCCCCCCACCCCCCAAAAAAGGCGATCTTTTCAGTCAGAGAAATTCTAAAAAAAAAAAAAAAAAAATTTTTAAAAGTCTGTAAAGAAACGGATTTCTTTTTCTTATTATTATTATTCAATTGCAATAAATTAATTAGGTTTAAGGATGAAACATACAAAACAAAAAAGTCAATATATTTTTCTTCTGATGCTTTCTTTCGTTTTAAATAAACCCCACAAATTTTACTTTTCCAAAAATGTTAACAATAACATTAATAATCGAATTTCTAATTTTATTCTCCCGATACTTATTCAGATTTGAGAAAATTAGAAATTAAAAACAAATTCTCGACAAGTTATTTTAAAAAATTAAAATAAATTGAAAAATGTACATTTTTAAAATAAAAAAGTGATTTTTTTTAACATCTTAAAAAGTAAAATGGGTGAAACTGATCAGATAGAGAATGGGAAAATAGTTTTTTTTTGTTTTGTTTTTTTGTTTAATCATTATTGTTAGAATTCTTATGTGTTTATTAAGTTAATTACCTCAATGGTACCATCTGAAATTCATCCTCCGTCAAAGTGGACCAAGTACCTCCAATACATTCCTTGCACCAGACATATGCTTTTTTGTTGATGTTCACCAAACATTCGTCGTCACCCATCTCGATTTTTTTTCGGCCAAATAAAAGTAGAAGAAACGTTCTCAGAGTTCGGAGGAATTTCCACAAAGAACTAAATGTGTACATTGGAGAACGAGTAAATAAATAAATCGGCTTCTCTCCAGTCTCCGATAGCGATATCAACCCATGAAATCATTCAAGCGTGGTCTAGGGTAACGCAAAAAAGAGAATGTCTAAAGATGAAAAGACCACACTAGAGTCACTCTTTGATAGAAAAAAAAAATAGAAGCGATATGAACTGGACCAAAATAATTTTCAAGAGGAAAACTGGCAACCAACTCTCGGAACTTCAACTTGCTTGATGATTACGACATAAAATATCACCCAATGTTACGTTGGCCGGTGAATACCGAAAATACGCCCCCACTTAAAAATCAACTCCACGTGTTTTAATGAGTCAGCTAATAACTTTTAAGTTGTTATGCAGAAAAAAAGTATTAAGATGTTTTTGAACCTTGCATTCGTTCTAAAATTAATTTTCTACAATTATTGAATGAAGAGTTGTTCTCCGTTTATCAAAATGATTATTCATTCTGACTGTTTCTTCACACACGAAGTTTTAGCGTGCGGATTTTGATAAAAGCATGATTGAAGAATTAAAAAGACAAGAAACTTTATGATTGAAAATTTATAATAATTTTGTGCGCAAAACTATCCGGTAACAAATTCATCTAGAAGTAAAGAATTATACTTGGAATAATAACTAATATTTGGATTATTTTCCAAAAATTATTGGAGATTGTCATATTGTAGACTAAGAAGAGTAAGACGTTTTAGTGAGACTTTCTTTACTTTTTATTTTTGTTTCTCGTTTTTTTCATAAATGGCTGACATCAGATATGGCTGCTCGTATGTATAGGGAAAAGGGAATACAGTAAGTTCTATGGAATTAGATTTAAAATAATATTGTAAATAGATCAACATTGCAAGATAAAATAATTTAAAAGGATTAGTGTATATAATGTGCTCAGTAGGCCAAGCATAACTATGAACACCATAAAATTAAAGAATATTGAAAACAAATAATCAAATGAATAGCTTTGAAATCAGATATAGCTGATCATATATATATATATATATATATATATATATATATATATATATAGGGAAAAGGCAGCACAGTAACTTCTATGGAATTAAATTAAAATAACAGAAAAAGATCAACATTGCAGAATTAGATGATTGAAGGGATTAGTGCATGTAATGTGCTGAGTGTAACGACAAAAGTATGCAGGTATAGGCTTTAAGAAAGCTTTATTCAACTGAAAATAGAAGGTTTGTGTGTAATATCCTTTTATAGTCCCAGTAAACAGAAATAGTTCTCTCAAAAAGGAGAGTAACGAAACAAGGGGAGACCACTTTTGATTATCCATAATACTCAGAAGGTCTAGCATATCTATGAACACCATACAGGAGTTTCTTTAAAAAAACAAAAATTAAAAATTAAAAAACACACACACACACGCCAATGGTATGCATTCCTAAGAAACAAGATTTACATTGATTCACCTTTAAAAATTATTTTGTACAAAATGAAAAATATCTTTATTCATGAAGTATAATCTATTATTTATTTCAAATGTATCTTACAGCAGTTTAGGGAAACTCATCAAATTCATACTTATTGTAATGAACAGTTTAAATTTGTAAGCAGATATTTGCTTTTAAAAATCTGTACTCTTAATATACAGAATTTAATTTGCAGTAATCTCTTTCTACCATAAAAGTATATTACATTTCCAGATAAAATATATGTAAAGACTAGTCAAAGAGTACACACAACCTTCAACAATGAATAGCAGCTTCTGCTGATTCAGTGAAAGCAAGATTTTTACAGGAACATTACTGATCATTTTCCTTATAAGACAACAAGAAATTGAACTGTGAGATTGCTCCACTTGTCTGCCAAAGAACTTTTACTTGTGACTACTAATTTTCTTGTTCAAAATTTATCTTAAAAGTGAAGGAATAGGACATTTTTTAAAATTATCATGAGTGCAAAGAGAATAATGAAAATTATAGTAAAAATTAATTTTTTTATTGTTCAAAAACTATTTAACCTGAAAAAAAAAAGCCATGCAGTGCATGTGTTATATACATGAACACTTCATCACTGATCAGTACAACATGAGATCATTTTAGTGGGGTTTAAGGGAGGCTTAAGAAATGGTAAAAACATACAGGTTAGTGTATAAATGAAAAATGTAAAGTCTTATATGTCTTTTCTTTAGCTCTTTTTATATTTGATGAAACTGGAGGTACAGCAAAAGTTTCATTCTCTTGTTTATCGCTTCAAACAAATGCATATTCATCAACAAAAATGGAAATTTATACTTTCAAGATATTGTAGCAGATGTTAATATTTGCACATGACATGCATGTATTAAGAACCCTATAAGCAGGAGAAAAAACTTTTCAGCTTTTGGTATATATAAAATGAATAAAACTGAGAACATATGTTCTATAATTTTAAAGAGGCTACTTCTGTTTCACCTTAGGTCAAGATAGATATGAGAAACTAAAATCAGTGCTCCATGAAGTAGCCACACATGTTTTACATTATACACATCACTCACTCTCTAAATTGAAGAGGCTAGTTCTCTTTTACCCATGGCAATGATCAGTATAAGACATGAAAGTTAGTGCTCCATGATGTAGCCACACATGGCTTACACTATACACATCACTCACTCTCTAAATTGAAGAGGCTAGTTCTCTTTTACCCATGGCAATGATCAGTATAAGACATGAAAGTTAGTGCTCTATGATGTAGCCACACATGGATTTGTATAACATGGACAGCCCAGCTCAATCCAAGGTTGTTCTCACACTGGTCAGTACTGCCACTGGTCAACTGATGGCTATTTGCTGACCACTTTGTTCCCTCATTTATTCTGCTCCACATTGTGTTCTTTGATCACAGAGCAGTGAAGATCAAATGTTTGTCTGTACTTACGTGGTGAAATATCATAACAAATACCAAAGAAGCTCACTGGGATAATTTTCTTTATATAACCATTGATACAACAAAATTAGCCCTTCCTGTTAAACTCTCTACCATGACACTGTGTCTCTTGCTTCTAAAGCTCTGAGCAAGTTAAACATTCACACAAGATGGTAGTCGCAAATTCTCGGCAGCAGGTTAGTGGGGTTCAACAGCTCTCCTGTCCACTGTCGAGTCATTTCAGCTCTCACTCCAACTGCTGGCTTCAATTAAGTTTTCTCTTTATATGTATTTCAGCCAACTCTTACTGCTCCTCAAACCTCATTACGTATTCATCAATTAATTATTTTCTCCAACCCCAAAGACATGTACCAACCATCAAACAAAGTGGTCAGCTATTTCAAAACAATAAACTTTGATTCCACATTCCTTGTGACAGTCATCCATTTTTATCAAAACAATAATTTTTCCCATGAGCAACTTTTAAAAATTATCTCGAAAAAATTTCATTTCGTTTTCTGACTTCCAAAATGACTGATTTCAAATCCCATTGCCTTTACTGATTTCAAATCCCATTGGCTTTACCCAAATTCACTCTCCAGCCATCAATGATCTTCAAATACAAAACAGTCATTTATTCAAAACAATGATTTTCCTGACAACAATTTTCTGCGCCTTTGAAATTTTTCGACAGCAAGAATTTTCTTTGTTTGTTGATTTACCAATATGACCTAAATAATTCTCTGTCCAGTTTCAAAACACACTCCAGATCATTTACATTCTGGCTTTGAGGACACATAACAATTCTCATTTGCTTTTTCAGTTTATATTTTCTCCAAACCAAATTTTGGACTCAACATTCCATTCAGCATTTCTGTTTATCAGAAAGGAAAAAAAACACTTCTCTTTTTTTCCTTTGCTTCATAATTAAATTCATGTTTTTCACTTTAATGTTTTTTTTCAACCCTTCCAATTTTCTAGTTCTATATGCGGTTTTCACATGAACCCCTTTTAATCCTAATTTCATACTACCAGTATCACAATAGTGTCACATAGACTATACACATCACTCACTCTCTAATTTAAAGAGTACATTTCCTGAAACTTTCTCCACATTAAAATGTTCCCAACAGAATAAAAATTTCCATCTCATTTCATTTCACTGTTTTTGTTTTGTCTATTTTCTCAACCAATTGATCACTTCTAGATTATATTTGTCAATGTCAATGATTTATCAGCTTCAAACAACAACCATTAACCTAACAATTTAAAAGATTTTATCAATACTGACTGACCAGCAGTAAGATAAGAGAAGCTGCTGTGAATGCAGTTAAGCATGACAACAGCAGCAGTGTCAGTAGTAGGTAGATTAGGTTTAAGGCTTCAAGTTGTAGACTCTAGATTGTCCCATGGGACAATACTCTAGTTGATTAAAGCATTGGATCATGAATTTGGTGACATAGTAATTGCGGGTTTGGTTCCTGTGCAGAGTTGTGCAGATTTAAATACAGTGGAGACAGAGTGTGCAATAAGTGAGGAGTACTAAATAAAAATAAAATGAGATATCTCTAGACATAATAGATTGAGAACAGTCAAACCCTGTAGATTGACTAAAGGTTCCTGTTTGAAATTCCCTGGAAGTTACCGAAATTGGGAAAGCATTGCATGACATACTTGGCAGGCTTGAGTAAATGAATGACAGAATGTGGTCTGGGGGAGGTGGCAGCAGGACAAAACTTATTGAGAGCTACAAGGGACAGGTGGATGTGGAGAGCCATGATCACCTATGTCCTGAAAAGGACACAGCACATAAAAAGAAAATCAGTCATCTACAGTCTGTGGTCACATCAATAAGTCTGTAGCCTAATAATGAAAGAATTTATTTTTCACAAGAAGTATTTATTGTTGGTATACAGTCCTTCCTTGTCAGTGCACTTAACCCCTGAGGCCACACAAATACACACACACACTCTCTGGTTGATGGTAATTGGCAAAAAAATATAAAGTTCTAAGAGATTAAATCTCATGTTTTCATTAG